ACAACCAACTGGTTTTCAACAAAGAAGGCAAAAACATACACTGAGGAAAGGACAGCCTATTGAACAAATAGGGCTGGGAAAATTGGATAGCTATGTGCAGAAAAATGAAACTTGATTCCTATCTCTCCTCATATACAAAAATTAATTCAAGGTAGACTAAATACTTAAATGTCAGATCTGAAACCATTAAAATCCTAGAGGAAAACCTAGGAAAAAACTCTTATGGACATTAAGCTAGGCAAAGAATATATGGCAAAAACCCCAAAAGCAAATACAACAAAAACAAAAATAAATAAGTGGAATTTAATGAAAATAAAAATCTACTGCATAGCAAAAGAAATAATCAACAGAGCAAATACACAAAATGAGAGAAGATATTTGTGAACTATACATCTGATAAAGGATTTATATACAGAATCTACAAATAACTCCAACAAAGCAGCAAGAAAAAAGCAAATAACCCCATTAAACAGTGGGCAAATGACATGAACAGACATCTCTTTAAAAAGGATACACAAATGGCCAACATGTGTGAAAAAATGCTTAACATCATTAATTGTCAGAGAAATGCAAATCAAAACCACAATGAGATACAACCTTACACAAATCAGAAAGGTCATCATGAAAAACAAAAAACAAAAAACAATAGATGCTGGTGTGGATAGGGAGAAGAGGGAACATTTATTTACTGTTGGTGGGAGTGTAAATTAGTACAGTCTCTATGGAAATTGGTATGGAGATTTCTCAAAGAAGTAAAAGTAGATCTACCATTTGATCCAGCAATCCCACTACCAAGTATCTACCCAAAGAACGAGGTTGTTATTTGAAGAAGACACCTGCACCCGCATGTTCATTGCAGCACAATTCATAATTGGAAAGATATAGAATCAAAATGTCCATCAATCAATCAATGGATAAGGAAAATGTATATATATACACTATGGAATACTATTCAGTTATCAAAAAGAATGAAATAACATCTTTTGCAGCAATTAGGATGGAATTGGAGAACATTATCCTAAGTGAACTAACACAGGAACAAAAACCAAACACTGCATATTCTCATTGATAACTGGGTGCTGAACCAAGGATCACAAGACATAGACAATGGCATAGTGGACACTGGAAACTCAGGATGAGGAGGGCAGAAGGAGTGGAGGGACAAAAAAATTACATATCAGGTACTATGTGAGATGGTGGGTACACTTAAAGCCCAGACCAAAAAGTATTTGTACCCCCTAAAACGATTGAAAATTTTTTTTGTTTTTTGAGTTGGTGCCTCACTCTGTTGCCCAGACTGGAGTGCAGTGGCCGCTCCCGGCGACCGCAGCCTGGACATTCTGGGCTCCGGCGATCCTTCCGCCTCAGCCTTCCGAGTAGCCGGAATTACAGGCGCGCGCTACCACGCCTGGCTAATTTTTTGATTTCTTGTAGAGATGAGGTCTCGCCTGTCCAGGCGGGTCTCAAACCCGTGGGCTCAGGCAATCCACTCACCTCAGCCTCCCAAAGGCGTGGGATCACAGGCTGAGCCACCGAGCCCGACTGAAATTTTTAAAAAGAGAATGGTCTACCTCGAAATTTTAAAGTTTGTGTAATGTTCCATTTTGAATATTACATGGGATCTGCAGTCATTGATGTGGTGCTGGAAATGGAAAGTTGAAGGGCTTAAATATTAGTTCTGCCACTTAGATCTTATATGATATTACATGCCTTACTAGCTCCTATAAAGCTCAGTTGCTTAATGGAAACCATCAAGTCTACCTACGAGGAGTAGTACAGTGTTGGCTGGGGCTCCAAATTCAAATGTTTTTTGATTTAAGCCCTGAAGACCAATCCTAATTCTTTAGAGTTCAGACAGTGCTGAATGCTTTGGCCTGTGTCCAGTGGAACTTTCACGGCCCTACTCAAAATCATTCACATTGACAACAAACAAACAAATAATATACTGAAGTCCAAAACAGAGAGAGAGAGAGAGAGAGAGAGAGAGAAAGAGAGAGAGAGAGAATATGCACGCGCTAGTCAGCCCCCCCTCCCCCCGCCCCCAGCCTGGGCTACATAGTGAGATCTCATTTCTACAAAAACTAAAATTAACCAGATGCGGTGGCATGTGCCTGTAGCTTCAGCTACTCAGGCGGCTGAGAAGAGGATCACTTGAGTCCAGGAGGTCAAGGCTGCAATGAGCTGGGACGACATTACTCCCTATACTCCAGCCTGGGTGATAGAGTGAGACTCTGTCGAAAGAAAGTATAGAAAGGAAAGAAACAAAGACAGACAGATAGACAGATAAGCAGACATTCATAAAACATCCATAAAGCAAACTAGGGCCTTCATATACTGCTGGTGGGAACACAAGTAATTGCCACTTTGGAAAACAGGCTGGAAATTTCTCAAAAGACCAAACATGGTATCACCACGAGTCAGCAATTCTACTTCTAGGTATATGCCCAAGAGAAACGAAAACATACATCTATGTATACAAAAACTTGCACAGGAATCATCATAGCATCAATATTCTTATTTACTTATTTTGAGACAGGGTATCTGTTGCCTAGGCAGGAGTACAGTGGAGTGATTATAGCTCACTGCAACCTTCACCTCCTGGGCTCAAGCAATCCTCTTGTCTCAGCCTCCTGAGGACCAGGGACTACAGGTGTGAGCCACCATGTCTGGCTTTTTATTTTTATTTTGTGTCATGGGGTCGTGCTGTGTTGACCAGGCTGGTCTTCCCACCTTGGCCTCCCAAAGTGCTGAAATTACAGGTGGGAGCCAATTACACCTAGCCCATTGCAGCATTATTCCCAACAGCCAAAATTAGAATTGGCCCAAATGCCTATGAACTGATGAGTGAATAAATGCATTGATGGGTTATATCTATACAATGGCATTTTTGACAGATAGGAATGAGCGGTGATACACGGTACAACATGGATGAACCTCGAACTGGGCTTGGTTTTGGTATAAAAGTCATAGGAGATGGTTCAAGATGAGGTTTTGTTATGCTGCCCTGAGGTGGTCTCAAGCAGTTCTCCCGCCTCCGCCTCCCAGAGAACTGAGATTACTGGCATGGAACCACTGTTCCTGGCAAGAAAACTTTGTTTAAAAAGCCTTACAATTCTGAAGGATCATAATGATAGTATATACAGAATCAGCATAAGAAGTCCTTAATAAATGGTGGCCATTACTCTTTGTGAGGAGTTTTACATTTTTCTCAGGATGACCAGCACTTTTAAAAGAACAACTTTTATGTAACAATATTGAGCCCTTTGGCAGTCTCCATTTTTTCCCCCCTGAATCTTTGGAGATGCAGAAGTGCTGACAATGTTACCTACACTTTTTTTTTAGGACCCCCAAAAGCTTGGGTCAGTGGGTATCTCATTGGGAGTACAGAGTGCCAGGAAAGCATCCTTCCTTTAAAGCTCTTCTGTGAAAATGGCAATACAAGTAAAACAAGGAGCCTACTATTACTCCCAGAGACTTTGCTTTGGGAAAAAGTTGTAATATTAAGCTGTTGAAACAAATATTCAAAGTATACGTTATAATGCTTTACAGAACTGGGCTTGGGTTTGGTATAAAGTAATGAGATGACTCTGCTTCGATTCCATTGGCGGAACTTCGCTTGCATTGCAGCAGGGATGAAAACGAGGTCTATTAAGCTTCCCTGACTACTTCCAATAATGGGTATTTAACCAAACTCTGCTCCGGGGCGTGAACGCAGGTAAATTGCGCGGCAGATACTTGTTTCGCGTTTGAAGAGCCAAAGTGGTAACAGGTGGGGAGAGAGGGCTCGGCCAGACTGTGAAGGCGTGTCGACTGTGGAATTTCAGTCCAAGGCCCGATTTTATTTTATTTTATTTATTTATTTTTTTTAGAAAATAGGATTTATTGAGAGGACAGAAAAGCTCTCAGAGTAGGAGGGGACCCGAGGGGGCTGCTCCGCCCGAAGTTTTAAAAAGAGAGGAAGTGGGCAGGGCGTGATGGCTCAGCCTGGAATCCCAGCACTATTGGGAGGCCAAGGGGAGAGGATTGCCTGAGCCCGGGCAGGGGGTTCGAGACCAGCCTGGGCAACTTGGCGGGACCTCGTCTCTACAGTAAATCTGACACACACACACACACACACACACACGCTCTCTCTCTCTCTCTCTCTCTCTCGCCGGGCGTGGTGGCGTGAGTCTGAAATTCCAGCTCCTTGGAAGGCTGAGGCGGAAGGATTGCCTGAGCCTGGCAGGTCAAGGCTGCGGTGGCCGTAAGCGTGCACCTTACTCCAGCCTGGGTGACTAAAGTGAGAATCCGACTCAAAAAACCAACCAACAAACAAAAAGCAGAGCGAAGTAACAGGGGGCACAATAACAGGCACGCTTTTGAGGCTCCCCTCTTTCCTTGGGCGAGCGGAGCCAAAAGAAGTCGCT